TTTCAGGTTACGTGATGTGTAAACCCATGTCGTCCACTACCGCTCAAGATGTCGCTGGGGCTTATAAAAGAGCAAGTTTTCCAAAGATTCGAGGCGTCTTCCATGATACGACACGATCAGGATCCGCGGTTCATGAGTGAAGTGTTCACCAGGTTCCGAGAACTCTTAGGTAGCCGACAACGTGCTACACTCGGATACCGCCCACAGGCGAATGGACAGCATGAGAGATCCGTACAAACGGTCATTCGGAGCGTTCGAGCGTATGGCACCGAGATGGATCAATCCGACTGGGATGATCACGCTGAGCGACTGATGTTCCCCCTGAATGTCTCGTTCGACGCGACTAGACTTGACACTCCTTTCTATTTGGTTCATGGTTGGGATGCCCGAAGTACGTTCTCGGCAATGTTAGGACCGAAACCTTCGAGCGTTCCTGAGCATAGCGCCTATGAGTGGCGACGGAAACTACAGCGTGAGTACAGCTATGCACTCGCTTGCGCTGAGGATCTCCAGAAGAAGGTTAAGAGGACGCGCTCGGACGAACAAACCCGGAAGTGGTTGGAGTTATCAGAAAGGGTCAAAGCTGGTTTTGAGAAGGGCAACTCTGTTTGGCTGTACATCACGAAAGTTCAGACTGGATTGAGCCGGAAGTTAGCACGCATGTTGCACGGGCCATTTAGTATATGAAATTCGGGATGACTTCCGTGTGAGACTGAAGGTGAAAGATACATGTTATCGTGTTAACCCTTGGGTACACATTAGCCGACTCAAGCCGAGAGTAGTTTTCCCAAAGAGACCAACAGTCGAGGTTGATGTTGCAGATGATGATGATTTCGATGCGGCGCTGTTGCCTGAAGACAGTTGGGAGCCTGATAGCTCGAATGATGTGTTTGAAGTGGAGTCAAATCGGGATATACGATGGATGAAACGCACTCGAACTGCGAGACGATCCCGAGAATATCTCGTCAAATAGAAAGGTTACGATGACCCAGAGTGGATTCCGGTGACACAACTCAAATGCGGATCACTACAGTATGAATTCAACAAAGGAACGCGAACACGAGCTCGTTTTCAGGCGATGCAGGCTGGGGACGACCACCCGAGAGTGTAGTCAACCCGAATTACATCACCTGAACGACTAGACCGTGGAACTATGTGAACTGATTATGATTTTGTTTGATTTGTGAAGAAGAATTGTGGAGATATTCAGGATGTTGAATACGGAATTCATTTGATGACTAAGAGTGTTGAAACGGATATGAAACTGGTAAAAAGTATCGGATGTGGTGCGATGAATAAGAAGGACAGTGAACTTTGAGGATGTGAATGACAATGGTATTTTGGATGTTAACGCTAATGTTCTGACATGCAACATGTAAAATGATTCTGGAAGAGTCAATTAGTCGAAGTCCATGGTGACGCAGTTCTTCTGCGATGAACGCTGTGAACCTTTCAGGAGCTTCAACGGATAATGTTCCGGGAGATGCTTGATGTGGTCTTCATCCGAGGCGCAAGTGTTCCACTGGACCCGCGCTGGCTCTTGGTCATCCAACAGCTCCATCTGCTCATTCAGGGTGTAGCGAGTGCCGTCATCCTTGACTTGCGACTCATGCATCAATATCCAATGACAGCACTGGGCAGGGATAATCCACGAACCAGGCTCATCCAGATTTGTCTCCTCAGGACCAGCATCGACACGACCATCCAGGAGTTTCTTGTACTCTTTCTTGGCTTTGTCGCAGTCGGCCTTGCGCTCGCGGTGAAGTTCCACAGAGTAAGGTCGTCGGTCTCCAAATCAATGAACATCCAGTGTCCGAACCACCATCACACGAGGATGCACGGACATGAATGCCATTATGGCGTCCAGGGATTCACGAGCGATGCCCTTCAGGTTGTCCCGCACGTGAAGGATCAGAAACTTGGAACGATCTTCAAACATGACGTCCCAAGGTCTCGTGTCCATAAGCTCCTTGAATGCGACTAGATCCCAGCGTTCTCGCAGCGCCTGGACATCTTCGTCCTTAGCCAAATATAGTCCGGGAATCCGAATGACTGCGTCACGGCATTAGCCGTGCCAGGAAGAAATTTCATCAGGATACCGCGATGGCGCCACGAGAGGATACCCTGACCCGGCACTTCGACAATCCATTTTGCGGAGTCACTCAGGGAGCCGTAACTCTTGCGTGCCAGACCCGTCTGCTTTCGCTCTTGTCCAGGACGCGATTTCTTGTCGTTGCTTGATTTGGCTCGTTTCTTGGGTGGTGATGACGCGCGCTTGGGTTTAGTCTTGGATGACGAATCCGAAGTGGTGTCGCGACCGCGCTTTGCCTGTCGGGGAGGAGTAGTTCGACGCTGGGGTTTACTTTGGCTGTTGTCGCCTGGGGAGAAGGTTGCATCGCGCCCCTCATCGTCTTCCTCTTCTGTGACACTGTCATAGAGTGCTGCCATAATTTCCACGGCGTCATCCTGGATGTCCTTGCGTAGATTGGGCCAACGAGTGGGAACTTCACCCGAAGTGAGAACCTTGGCAAGCTTGGGCTCGGCCTCCTTGTAACACCAACTCGGGACGTACTTGGTCCAAGGAGTTCTGTCGTGACTCTTCCAGTAGATGATGCGCACTAACATGGAAATGAGATGTCGAGCGTCCAGGTGTGAGTGGATCTCAGCGTCGGCCCGAGCTGCAGCAAGAGCTTCATCATAAGACATGTGCGACCGCATGAGTTCCTGGATATCCGCACGCAGCTTGTCCCAAATGACCAGTTGCGTCAAACCCTCACGTGCCTTGGTGACAGAGAGTTGCTTGGTTGTCGTGGGATCCAGGGTGTCGGTCATGCTCGGAGCGTAAACACTGGGTCGAAGCTGAACGTCCGTGAGAGCCTTGGGTTTAGACTCACTGAACAACTTGCGTTGGAGCTTGGCTGGGGTGGACTGAGTAGAGGATGGTCCCATGAGGTCCACCGTAAAACTCTTCAGGGCGGCCTGAGGCTTGGGTACGTCGGGGACCTTGAACTCTTCATCGTCACTCTCGACCTCGTATTCGTAAGCGCCCGGGTCGGCATCGAACTCGTCGGCCGCATTAATCTGGATCTGCGTTTTCCAGGCGTCAGGCGGGAGGGAATCATCCTTGAACTTCTCTAGGAGTGCTTTCAGGCGCGGCCAGTTGCCGCTAACCCGAGCGTTGTGACGATTTAGGAAGTTCATCACGCGACCGACCTTGAATGTTCCACCACGTAGCCGATATTCAAGTTGTCGGTTGGCCAAGCGATAGTCCTCAAGTTGACGTTGTAAGTCGGTGTTCTCATCCCGAAGTACCTGTTCTTGGCGGCCGTGCTCTTCTGTGGCTCGCTGGAAATCATGGTCACTTTCGGAGAGCCGACTCTGAGCTTGCTCTAAAATTTCAGCCACCTGTTGGTCGAAAGCCTTTTTGAGAAGCACGAAGTCACGACGTGCGCTGCGAGCATCGTCTGAAGAATTGCCCAATTCGAGCGTGGTCTTCGAGGTACCCAGAGTGCAGGCAACCTGAGAGACCCGGTGCCGATCCAACATACGCTTCAGGAGTGTGGACATCCCGAATACTTTGCGACTCATACACCCGTAAGAGTGCCGGCAATTCGCGTTGTGCTGGGATGCCAGTAATCATATCGCGAAAGTCACTCGGCCTTGGCTCTGCTGACGCATCCCGAGGTACCAACAGCTCGCGCTGAATGTGTCGGCTTTGTCTTGGTCGCTCAAGTATTCAATCTCAACGAGATTCTCGAGGCCGCCGTAGCCGGCACGCAGGAGCACCGTACCCAGACGATCGACATCGAAAGCTGGCACACCGACGAATTGCGTTGTGGAGCAAGGCGAATATCTCGGAGGCGATGTGAGTTGGACAGGAGGGACTTGACCAGCCACCGAAGGAGTGATAGCAGCGACGGAGTGAGCCTTGGCATCAGCCCCATCCAATTCCGTGAGGAATGTCGACATGACCAGCCACGTCGATAGCAAGTTTTGCGCAGCATTGCGCGCGTTAAAATCGTCAGCCGCCGAGATGCTGGGATGATCTGAACCAGAAGTGGACCAATGTAATAGGTCTGCTACTTGAAGGCGCTTAACAGGCGCATCGCACTCTTGAGCCGTTTCACCGCGATCTTGAGCCGTCTCACCGCGATCTTGAGCCCTCTCACCGAGATTTCCACCGAGTTCTTGATCCGTCTCACCGCGCGGACTGACAGGCGTGTCCATCACTGGCGCGTCAGTTGCTGGAGGGTCGTCGTGTGATGTGCCACCACTGGGTGTGACTCACGAAGGCCGGTGTAGCTGTGGGACGTCTCCTGGTGGTGTGCTCGCCGGCGTGTGTGCAGGCGAGGACGATTGTGGAAGCGTGGAGTCTGC